GCCACTCCAGTAACTTTGCCCAGAAAACCCAAAACGAAGAGTCAAAACTTGGCTGAAACAACTGAACCACAACTATTTTTAAAAACATTTTTTTCCTAGTTACATGTAAAGATAATTTTTAACATTCATTTTTTAAAAATTTTGAGTTCCAGATTTTTTTTCTCCTTCCTTCATCTCTCCTTCCCCGAGATGGTGCTCATTTTGATACAGGTGAGACTTCAGTCATGCACGGCAACAGCTGTAACAGAGATTTCCCTCGCGGCGTCGCAGCTCAGCGCAGTGACACCCGCCCCTCCCCCCGCATTGGCCTTCAGAGATGGCTGTCCTCCCCCCGCTTGCCCGGATCGCGCGCACACCCCCGGCTGTTGCCCGTGCCGCCCTGTCGTGGAGCTCCTGGATCGTTAGCCCTTAGCACAGTGCATTCACCAAGTGCTCCTTGACTGATTGATATTATGTCTGTTTAAGGGAAGCTGAGGCCCCCGCCCACAGAGGGACTGCCCCACGGTCTGCAGCGTCTGTGTGCTGGGGACGATGTCACTGAAAAATTTAGAACAGAAAGTCAAAAGCCAAGCGGCAGATGCATCGAATGTGTGAGGTCAGGAAAGGACACCCCGGGATCCTGACCCCAGGCAGGGCCCACCCGATGAGGGTGCCTTCCTCCTGCCATTCTTTTTTGTCAGTAGAGGTGACCTCTGCCTTCGAGGGAGAGAAACAGCGCAGAGGGAAACAAAGGACCTGTGGCTTCAGCCGCTCCATTCTTTGTAGTCCCGTTACTCCCGTGGCCGACGTATCACCTTGGACGTACCCCTATCCCCAAGGATGTGATTTGGCCAAGAGATGCCCCCGCCAGGGTAGCTGAGCGACCTGTGACTTGTGAGCGGGTCCTGCCTGGGGTCAGAGGCACCGTTAGGGCTGTTGGGCTTGGCCCCCTCAACCCCGAATAGAAGGTGTGGAAAGGCCGGTTTCATCTTTTTACTGGGAGCTCTCACCTGGTCTGAGAAGATGGCTCCTGGAGTTGCCTGAGAGGCATCACACAGCTAATTAACGTCGGTGACTTGGAGTGGGACCAGGCTTCCTGGTTCATAGGATCATCCATTTAGAGTGGAAAGAGGTCATTGAGTTCAGTCCCTGGTTTTACAGGTAGCAGATTAGGAAGGTGACTCACCCTGAGTCAGGTGGCTAATGAGTGTGTGGCAGGATTCACACCCAGGTCTTCCTGACTCCAAGCCCAGTGTGCTAACCATTGTGCCATACTGCACTATGGCTACTCTGTAGCTTCTGTAAATGGATTGATACTGACATTTGCCAAGCTGCAAGCATGGACGTGTCCTTCCACGTCAGTGTTTTAGATTAGCAGCAGAGGGATCTGTTGAGCTAAGGTCACCTGAGGCTTCTGAAACGCCCTCGGAAAGGAGATGGGAGGGTGCACAGAGCCTCTGGTAGAAAGGAAAGGACATCCTGTTTTAATAGCCCAGCATCTGTGGGGTTCTGCGTATCCTAGCAGGCCTTCAGAGATTTGTTTTTGAAGAGAAACATGCGATAATTAATCTGAATGTGTTCCTACTTGTTACTCCCACTTCTATACATTTTTAAAAGTTTCATTGATGTGCTTTACTTTTTACATCGCTGATTTTGGATATGATTTCACCTGTTCTCTGCCCCTCTCCTGTGAGCAAAGCAGCCCTGTTGAGGACCACATCGGATGGGAAAGTCACCGCGCCCTGGCATCTCCCGCCTCTTGACGAGAAGTGGGCCAGACTTTCATTGCCCTCTTTTTAGGGCAAATTTTTTTTTTCAGTTACTTAGAAGTTGGCATCCTTTTAGTTTACAGGGTGTAGTCGTTTTGTTTTTTGTTGTTTGGGCCCCATGCATTTCCTCTGCATCAGTTAACACAGACGGATTTCTCACTCGTCCTTCTTAACTGCACTGTGCTACTCCATTCCATTCACATACCGCACCTTGTTTAACTGTGGGCACCCACTTTGTTTCCAGTTTTTTGTTACCACAAACAGGTGCTTCTGTGAATATTTTTTTATACCTAGCACTGCCCTTCCTAAGTATGCCCAGGAGCGAGATCACCAGGTCAGAGGATTCAAATAGTGTAGTTCATTTTCCCCCCATAATTCCAAACCGATTTGCAGAAAGGTTGGGCCAGCTCACAGTTCGACCAGTGGCATTAACACCTTTCTTTGCAGCCCTTAAGATGGTAGCTTGCCTCAGTACATTTTTAAGGCAATTCCACCTTCCTGAAAGGCATCACGTACAAATTAACCTCCTCCTTCAGAAGCAGCGTGTGTAAAGGGAAGACCCCTGGTCCATGCAGGTGGCTTGTCCAGGCTGAGCTCTGCTTCTTACTGACCATGGCACTCTGAGTCAGCCTCAGTTTCCTCACCTGCAAAATGGGAACAGTGTTTGCATCCCCTCTCTCACAGGCTGTTCTGAGAAAGCGCTTTGCAAGCCTTTTAAGTGCCACTTAAATCTGAGGTTTTGTTAGTCTTCTAATTGTCATTTCTGTGAGTCATTTCCATTTGTCTCCATGGTCAAGGATACTGACAGCAAGAAGGTTTCTGTTCTTTTCCTTCTTCGGTTATTTGACTGTGGTCCCCCCTTTTGGTTTCTTAGCCCTTTGTCTTTTATTTATTTCTGTCCTTGATAGAGTCTTTGGTCCTGGGTGCAGGCCATCACTCCCAGTTTAAGGCACATCTGCCCTTCAGCCGTCCTAGGTGGATGCCCATCTATCATGTGGAAAGATTTTCAAAGGAGGAGGTTCTGCATCCTAATCCCCCGTTCTTGTGTACTACTTACAACTAGACTTCTATGGCCCCAAACCCTCTGCTTGATGTAAATTAGGAGGTATCATGGCGCCCTGGAGAGAGAGCTAGGTTTGGACTCAGAAGACCTGGGTGTGCCACTTGTGACCTGTCTGACCTTGGACAAACGACTTAACTCTGTGGGCCTCACTTCCTCTGTCTCTAAAATGAGGGGGTTGGATTCGGTGACCTCCAAAAACCCTTCTAATTCCAAATCTGTGATCTTAATCTATCAGCAGTAGAGATGAAATAATAGAATCTAATAGTGAATCATAGAATTTCTCTGTTGGAAGGGACCTCAGAGAGGCTGTTGACCCATTCTTGAGCAGTAATTTTCTACACAGCATCACTGACAATTGGTTATCCAACCTCCATTTCATTTGACAGGGAACAGAGAAAATAAGATGGAAGGCAGATTGAGGGAGGGATTAGTCCTAGGCAAACCAGGCTCCAACTAAGGATTGCAAAAATATTTACAGCAGCTCTTTTAGCCAAGGTAAAGAATTTGAAACTGAGGGGTTTGACTACTAAAGGGTGAAAGGCTGAAGAGGTTATGGTATAGAAATGTGAGGGAATGCTGTGGTGCCCTAAGAAGTGATGGCAGGATCGGCGGGAAGATTTTTATGAGCTACACAGGGTGAGGTGAGCTGAGCCCGGAAAAAGGTCTATACAGTGACAGCAACGTTGTGAAAACAGACAGCTCTGAAAGACTCAGCAAAGACCAGCTCGTGATGAGACATGCCACCTGCCTCCAGGTAAAGAGGCCGTGGGTTCTGAGTGCACACGGAGACTTTTTTTTTTTAATGTAACCAGTATGGCAATTTGTTTTGCTTGTATGTGTTTGTAACAGAGGCTTTTTTTTTTTCCTTTCTCATTTTGGGGTGAGGGGATGCAGGAAGAAGGCATATTCTTGTTGATTGAAAAACAAAAAATGGGAGCAGCTAGGTGGTGCAGTGGATAGAGCACAGGCCCAGGAGTCAGGAGGACCTGAGTTCAAATCCAGCCTTAGACACTTAACACTTACTAGTTGTGTGACTCTGGGCAAGTCACTTACCCCCCCTTGCCTCACCAAAAAAAAAAAAAAGAAAGAAATAGCCTGGGATGATATGGGTTTTCCCCCCCGGAAGCCTTCATAGAGTCATAGATTTATAGCCGGAAGGGACCATAGAGGCCATCAGGTCTAACCCTTCCATTTTACAGATGAGAAAACTGAGGCCCAGAGTGTTCATGTAAGTATTAAATGACTGAGGCAGGATTTGAACTTATGTTCTCTGACTCCTAAAGACATTGCTCTTTTTTGTTCAGATCCAGGTTGGACTACATGAATTCTTTTTTTTTTTTTTAGGCAGTTGGAGTTAAATGACTTTCCCAGGGTCACACAGCTAGTAAGTGTCAAATGTTTGGTCGGAGGCTGGATTTGAACTCAGGTCCTCCTGACTTCAGGGCCGGTACCTCTATTCTCTGAGCCATCTAGCTGCCCCCTGGACTAGATGACTTCTTAAGCCCCTTCTAACTCTAAGGTTCAAGCAACCAGTCTGTTAACCAGAACTTAGTACAGTGCCTGGCACACAGTAGGTGCTTGATAAAGGTTTATTAATTGAATCAGTAAGCATTTATTAGTTGGCCGCTGTGTGCCATGACTGCAATTGTCCTATTATAGTTTTGGTATTTCAGAGTGATATCCATATTTATTCTCCAGTTGGCTACATTTTTGTAGGTGTTCCACATTTTTTTGTTTGAAGTCTTTCTGATGAATTTATGTACATCAAAACTAGGGAACAGATCATATTGATTCTAGATCAAATAGAGATGTCATAGAGAAATGTTTTCAGTTTTACAAATATCCTGTAACTCTAATACACTGAGATTTAAAGATTTATTTCTTTAGACTTTTAGCACAGAAGAACTTTTGCAAATTTTATTACATTTTCTCTTCATTTCCTGATGCTGGTCTGCTAATTCAGTTAAGAAACCCTAGACTTTTACTCTTTCTTTAAGTATATTTCATGTTGATGACATGAACTTTTGTTAAAGAAATGAATTCTTCTGCCAGTTTCAAATTCTTGGAATAAAAGGATCCTCGTGGAGTATCTTGCCACATCCCCTGCAGAATCCAGAATTGCTGTTCGTGTTGTGGAACGCCTCGGAGAGTGCTGGCTAATCGCTTGTTTTGTTTTGTTTCATTTTTAGGTTTGCTAAAGTTTTGCACGGTGGGATTTTGTGGAATCGGCAGTCTGATTGACTTCATTCTCATTTCAATGCAGGTAAGCTGCTGACTTCCAGGTATACGCGCTTGAGTTGTAAGGGTGTGTGGGTGTGTGTGTTCACCCAAGAAGAGAAAACGTATATAAATCCAAGGACTTCAGTCTTGTGATAATTGATTTTCCACATTGTCTCTGACAAGGCTCCTCTCCTTCATGCACTCTCTAAGACTGGAAAGGAGGAACAGCCTTCCTTCACCCTCCTCTTTTAAAGGCTCTGGTACTTAGACTTCATTTCTTATTTCTTTTTGGCTTAGCCACGTAGGTCCATGCACTATGAATCCGTGTAGAATGTGAACTGGTCTCATTTGGTTTTGTTTCCTGGTGCTTTTTTTTTCTTTTTCTGTTTTTGGAGGCAATCGGGGCTAAATGACTTGCCCAGGGTCACACAGCCAGTTAAGTGTCAAGTGTCTGAGGTCAGATTTGAACTCGGATCCTCCTGATTCCAAGGCCAGAGCTTTATCCACTGTGCCACCTAACTGCCCCTTCTTGGTGTTGTCTTTTGGGTAGACCGGACACCTTTGTTCCAGTGATAGATGTTTCCATAAGCTTTTATGACACATCGTTTCGTTGTAGATGGCCTGTCTCTGAGCCTTGAAGTAATTTATTAAATCGTGCGCCTCTGGATATACCCATTCACAGACTAAAATGTAGTAGAATTAGGGGGGTAAAAAAGATGGCGTTCAGCATAAGTATTAAAAAGTCTTTTGCACATTGTCTGAACTAATAATACATTTCAGATTTCTATCACATATCACACTAAGAGGTTGACAGTTATTTATGTTTTCCAAATCTGCTTCGTAAAATGGGCCTACCAGATGACTGCCGTGTTTATGTTTCTGAGCACTCACAGATACCACCGGCTATTTACTTTGCAAAGTATTGTGTCCCAGATGTAGGGTTCATGGAGTTTAAACGATAAGTGCCCATAGTTAGCATTTGAACTTGCAAAATACATTTCTTCCTTTGTTCATCAGACGTTTGTTAAGTGCCTGACCTTGGAACAAGCCTGTCCTCGAACTCACAGCAAATTTGCAGGTTACGACCCTCATTCTGTGCTCCTGCCCCGAAATACAGCGTCTCCAGGCCTTGCCTGCCTGCTGTTTCTTGCAGTCAGTCTTTAGTCTGTAGATAAAAGCATAGAGCTAGGAGGAAAATATGCAGGCTGCCATATTGTGAGGAGGAGGCAGCATCTGGGGAAAGAATAAGACCAGCAGCATTAAACAAAGAAAATATTTAGTTTTGAATTTGAAATTCTACTATATTCACCCACCAGCATATGCCCTTCCTCCTCTGACTGTGGGACAGGCAAGTAGGCATGAAGAGGCTAAGGTAACATTTTACATATGTTAGGAAAGTGGTGTCTCATGTTAAATGACATTCAAAGAAATTTAATGTATCATTGGGATTCTTAGAGTTAAGACTTCCAAAACTCCATAGCTCCACGGTCCCACCATCTGTCTGACAGCGTTAGAAGGAGTTTTATCTTTCGGTCTTTGGTTGTAGCATTTCCTTACAGCTCTGATTTACATAAAATCACAAACTTGGAAAGGACCTCAAGAAATCATCAGCTGATTCAGCCTCTGCCTTGAGGTGGCTGAATGCCTAGATTCCCCTCCTCCAGACCTCCAGGGAAGTTGTTTGGGGATAGAATCGCCCATGGACCCTGCAGTAGTTATAAGAATGGAAGACCAGCCCTGAAGCGCTGTCACCTGGGGAAGAAGGAGTCCCTTCTCCGAGTGTGCCAAGCAGCATTCTACATGCCCACGATAAGTTTTAACGTGTGGCCGCGTCTGAAGTGAGGCGTGTTGATGATGCGTCATTTTCAAACAGTATGAGTAACTTTTAACTACGAGCATTATCAGGGTACGTTAATATTTATGGCAGGAATAGATTTGTTCCAGTTGATTACAGATGTTTCCAGCCTGCTTTTTTGTGTGTGGAGTTCTTCTGCTCCCCTTTTCCTCCTGCTCTCGTTGCCCATTTTTTTAAACTATTAAATATTCCTCCCCAGTGGTTAGCAGTGTTTTTCTGTTGGGCTGTGATCCCAGAAACACATCGTGCATGGCCTCACGACCTCCCAAAACACACGTTATGATTTTTCTTTTACACTTCGTAGTTTGTAATGAAAACTCAGAAAAACCATCCTAGGGAAAAAAATAAGTCTAGAGACTTGTATTCTGATGTTAAATAATGGCAGAACACTTGTGTGCATCTGTTGCTAAATGAACTAGACTTAACTTGAAGCTCAAGCAGTTCCAGAAACTGTATCTACTATTCATTACCAAACCTAGCCAGGATATTCAGATGCTCGGTGTTAAAGGAGTATCCGTGGAATAGTATAGGGATGGCATCGGGGGATGTGAAATGGTACAAGATATTAAATTACCTCGGCACCTGGGGCCCGAGTGCGAACATGGGCTCTGTGGGTAGTCCATAGGAGCCCCTCTGTGTCCCTCTGCTTCCCTGAGATAGTTCTGATGGTCTGAGAAGCCTTGCTTGCTTCACTCCTGTGTCTGGCGAGCCCTGGCCATCTCTGAGTCGACGCTGCTGCAGAAGCGCCTTGTTATCGCCAGCCTGTGTCCCCTCCATCCATTGCACAGACTTCTGTCAGATGTCCTCTCTGCCGCTCATTTTGGCCCTGAGCCTAATGTCCGTAGAGTCACAGATTTAGAGCTGGAAGGGATTGAAGAGATTCTCTAGTCCCCTCATTTCACAGATGGGTAAACTGAGGTCCTGAGAGAGCTTGCAGGACTGGTCCTCTGCCTCACCTGTGCAGGCTGTACCTTTTCACATTGTAAGGTGAAGACCTGGGATTCAGACCCCTCTCTCCTGACACCAACAAGTCTTTACTGACTGCCCGAGATGGCACCGAGATGAGGCTTGGAGTGTTGTATTGGAGGAGTTGAGAGATCCAGAGTTGGGGGCACAACGTGCAGTGAGGCTGAAGTGGGCAAACCGAAGAAGTCAAGCTTTATCCTCAAGGAGAGGTTGGGTCTGCCTGTGCTCTACACCTGGGCGAGACCCCTTGGTGACCGGGTGGCCGAGAGATCACGGAGCAGGCAACGGCAGTAACTCGGCCTGAGCTGTGGGTCTGGCTTGGGTTTCAGGCTAGTCGGACGATGGGGCCCGAGACTTGGGATATTGGTGGCACTCCCCAGAAAAGTGTGACCTGGCACCAGACGGATGTCTCAGCTGGTCACTCCCTTGCTGGAAGAGCCTAGGAAGTGATGTGGCGCCTCCCTGGAGGAATAGTGAATCAGATGGGTAGCACCCTTCGTTGTTCTCCCACTGCCTTTGCCTCTGCTGATTTAATCAGCCACACCCTGTTACAGCAGTTAACTGGCTTTTTGTTTGTTTGTTTGTTTTGTTTTAGACTAGTGGCAGTACTGGGGTCCTTGAGGTCCCCTTCTCTGCTGTTCTATGGAGTTGATACAAAACAAAACATTTAGGACTATGAGCTTTAGCTCAGAGCCCAATTAGGACAATTCCTAACATTTAGCCAGAGTTTTGGCTCTCTGACCTAATTTAAATCTATGTTTGTGTCTAGCTAAGCCTTGGCCTCTTTATTGGTAAGGCAAAAATTCAGGTTACCAGAAACATTGGGGTCAAGAAACAAGCCAAGTGTGCGTGTTACAGAGTCTGCTGATGGGAAGGTGAGGGAACCTGGGGGCGGAGGCCTGTTCCTGAAACTCAAGTCAGTGAAGAGTTCAGCTAGGTGACTCAGTGGATAGAGCGCCCGCCCTGCAGTGAGGAGGACCTGAGTTCAAATGTGGCCTCAGATGCTTCCTAGCTGTGTGACCCTGAGCAAATTATTTAATTCTGTTTGCTTAAGTTTCCTCAGCTGTAAAATGAACTGGAGAAGACAATGGCAAACCACTCCAGTGTCTTTGCAGGAAAACCCCAAATGGGGTCACAAAGAGTCAGACATGACTGAAATGACTCAGTGACAACAGCCCAAGTGTCTCACGCAGAGGCCGGTGAGGGCTGGCCACCCCCTCTCTGCCCCTGTGCTGCTCATTCTTCAGGCTCCACTTTTGAGGTCCTCCAGGTATGTGACTGAGAGTGTCTAGGTAAAATGCCGTGGCATGATTCGGGCTCAAGGGAGGCCCAGGTGGGTCTCTGGACAGAGACGAGGACTGGTCCTCTGAGCTCCAGGTCTCGAGATGCCAGTCAGTTCTGAAGCCTGGTTACAAAAGCATGGGAAGAGCCTCGTAAACAGTGCCTGACGGTGGCTGGAAGAGAGCGCTCTAATAACTTGCTTTCTCCAAGGATGCCCTGTTTCCACTGGGATGGCAACATGAAATGAAGCGACTTCCAGGACGAGCACTGTGCTCTGTTAGAATAGAACTGATTGCTCGTGGGTCCGAGGCCAGAGATCCCGTTCTTCCGGGGTCAGTGAGCTTTGCCCTCTCACCTGGCTCAGAAGGGGGTCAGCCATGGAGTCTTTGCCCAGGGACATGTGAAGGGAAGGTATGCTAACATTTACCTTCGTTGGCCCGCCTAGTCATTCCCCATGGGCATTTACCATTGCCGTGAGAATCAGGGGAGTTGGTAGATCTCATTCAACTCTTACAACCAATCCAGGCGTTATTATCTCACTACATGGAGGAGATTGAGGCCCAGCTGGGGTTAAGTCACTCAGGAGCCAGAAAACCCGGGTTTAGCTCCTGGCTCTGCTGCTTGCTCCCTGTGTTACCTTGGGCAAGTCATTTAACCTTAGTGGGCCTCCATTTTCCCATTTGTGAAATGGGTTGGACTAGAAGAATGCTCGAGTCTCTTCCCTCTGTAAATTCAGGATCCTGTCGCTTGCCTGTGGCCCTAAGCAGAATTGGCACCCTGCATTCTCCTGCCCTCCACCCCAGCACTCTCTTCATTGCAGGAAGTCACCTGCCCCTTTGGTCTGTGGTGTCTCTTAGGCCTAAATTCGAATCTTTAGATTATACTTGGAGTTTTGGTCACAGGAGCAAAGGTAATGGAATTTCTAAAGCAAAGGCAGTGTCCATTCCGTGGCTGGAACCAAATGCTTTGTTGTCCTTGAGAGACGCCAATCTGTACCCCAGACTTTGCCTTTCCAAAGAAAATAACGGTTGTGTTCCTTGAGGAGGAAGACGAATGGAGCTCGGTGTTGGCGGGGTTATTCCAGGGCCTGGGGGCCTGAGGGTGGCACAGAAGGTAGAGTGTGGATATTTGTTAGGCTCCAGAATTCAGTCTGGCATTTCAAGAGGCCCAAGTGGGTAAATTGGGAGTCGTGATGGAAGCCACGAGCCAAACTCCCTAGTCTGTATTGCAGGTGGCCCAAGCATCCTCTCTGAGTCTTGGGGGAGGATCTGGCCTCCAGAGTGTTCAGAGGGGGCCCTGGCAACGTCTGTCTTCAGGGCCGAAGGGATAGGGTTCACTTCTTCTGCCTGGACTTTGCCGCTTGATTCCGCACTGCGGCCCTGAGCCTGTTTGGTCTTCCCTCTACAGATTTCCTTTCTTATACCCACAGCTGTTTTCCACGTTGACTCAAAATGAGACACAATCGGAAGGAGGGAGCATGTTTGTCAGCTTCTCCTTAACATACTTGGCTTCACGATCGCACCTAGGAAGGTGTTAATTCTAATCAAACGCCAGTTGAAAAGCTTCTGACCTTCATAGGAAATGTTTTCCCCAGTGGTGGTTTTGGAATAGACAGAATGTGGTGGAATAGATAACTAAGGACAAAAGCCTTCAAAATACTGCAGAAATGACCTTTGTACTTCGCCTCCCTTCCTTTTTCAGATTGTCGGTCCTTCTGACGGCACCAGCTACATTATCGATTATTATGGGACAAGACTCACAAGATTGAGCATCACCAATGAGACGTTCAGAAAAACGCAGAAGTACCCCTAGACACTGAGGAGACGGCTCGATGGTGAGGGCCGCGTGCAGAGCTTGGTAGCTGGTACCTTGTTTTACTCTACCTTCACCGTCCCTGCCGTGACAGGAGAGGGTCAGCAGCCGCAGCTCTTGAAGAGCAGGGTCTGTCTTTGTGTTCCCAGAGCTCAGCATGGGGCCTGGCACACAGCAGGGGATTAATGACTGACATTCAGTGTCCATGGATGGGTTGGATTAACCCATCAAAAAATGGCAGTCCTGAAATTTGTGGTACACTTTTTACACGCTTCGTGGGCAATCCTTGACGAAGGCAGAGGACGTGGAAACATTTCACAGTAAATTGTATCCTTACCATCACAAAAGTGAAAGGTTAGGTAAAGATCCCAAAAGTTCACTGTGGGAAATTTGTCAATTTTGTAAAATTTTCAATAAATGATAATGAATATTAATTTATGTATTTAATGTAATGACAAGCAGCTTGGCATGGTAGATGGAAAAAGGTAGAAGAAAATGAAATGTTCTGTGTGTAAATTATGGAAGGAAGATATTTTTAAAATTCAAGAAATGGAAAGATTTATTAAGGGCAAGATACATGTCCTCGACTTTGTGAAAAATTTAAAAACATTCTGCATAATTAACATAATTAAAAGGAAAAAAACAGAAAATGTTTGTGGCACCTATGACATTTGAAACTTGACATCTAAACTATATAAGGAAATATTTAGAAGTCCCAGTGGCAATTCCCAGTCCACCATGGTCAGGTGGTCTAAAGATACAGTAAACAGTTTTCAGAAAAGGAATCTCAGATTGTTTATCATCACTTGAAAAATGCCCAGCCTCACTGATTGTCAGAGAAGTGAGAACTTTGAGGTGGCTCGTTCCCATCAAACTGGCAAGAATAGAATTGAGGAATGGCCACAGGATGATGAGGGGGAAAGGGAGGAGGAGGAGGAGGAAGGGGGGGAGGAAGGGAAGTGGGAGGGGGAAGAGGAAAAGGAGGGGGGGAGGAGGAGGAGGACAGGGAAAGAGGAGGAGGAGGGTGGGGCTGGGGGCAGCAGAGCCCATCAGTGCTCAAGGAGGTGTCTGCAGTAACTTTGTGGACTTCAAAAAGCCGTTTTAACTTGATTCTGTTTTTTCTTGTAGGTTTTGTGCCTCGTTGATTTTAAGAGCGCTCCAGAACATGCATCCCAGGCTTTCTCATCGTCCCTGTCCGCACAGCTCACTTCATTTGCTTCCATGTGATTTTTACTGGAGATTTTTTTAGATGTTTTATTCTGAGATTTGGTTCACTCGAGACTTTCTCTGAGGCCTCTTGTCTCCCTTGGAGGGCTTTCTCACCCACCTGCCCGCCTTCCTGTCCCACCCCAAATACCTTTTCCATAGGCAAGTTGTGGCTTGTCATTTTTCCTTCTTCAAAATAAAGTAATAGAATAACTTCTTTGCTGAGTATAATTCATTCACACCATTTCTGGGCTTTCTTTTTGAAAGAAAATCCTTAGAAGTCTGAATGGAGCCGTCTTCTGATTCTGGGGTCTGGGTTCGAATGATGGTTATTTTGCTCCTCACTCTCTCTCTGTCCTTGGACAAGTGACTTCATTTCTCTGGGCCTCAGTTTTCTTTATAATGAGGAGCTTGGGTGAAGTGACCACTAAGTTCCCCTCCAACTCTTAATAAAAGCAACTGGTGTGTCTAGAGGGAGGTTTTTCTAAAAATAGATGGGGAAACTGAGGCTGAACAAAGTTAAGTGACTTGCCCAGGATGACTCAGCTAGTAAGTTTCTGAGTTGGGATTCTCCCTGACTCTTAAGTCTAATTGCTTCATGTCTTATTTGACCAAATTTCACTTCTGTGGTTTGGGGTGTAGCCCCTTTTCTGCAGCATTCGGACCTACCTGAGGAGGGATATTCAAGTACTTTGGCTCGCCTGGGAGGGCTGAGGCAGCCTGGCTCTGTCTGTCATGGATTTGTGCTTGTGAAGGCTGAAACCTCGCCCTCTGTGCTTCTGGTGGCGCCAGCTACCGATTCAGCCCTGCCTGTGCAGGATGTCTGGAGGTGGGCAAGAGAGGGGCATGGAACAGATAATGAGTGCCCCCACGGCCGTGGCAGCCCCTGGAGCCTCCCCGTCCTCGGTCCTGAACAGGTCCAGGAATTCTGTTCCTCTCCTAGGCCCTGGAGGGGTGGCCAGGGTCGCCTCTGGAAGGAGCGTGGTGGTGGCTTCAGGAAGGGGCTGGCCCTGGCTGCCGCCCACCGATCAAAGAGGTGAGGATAAGGAGCATCGGTCCTCTGACCCTCACAGGTTCTGACCACAGCTAGCTGGTTTACCTTAGCACACTAAAGTCCTTTAAAAGTCATTGTTATCTTCAATGACCTAAGGAAAAGAAGGGCATGTGTGCATTTCAGGGCCAAGAGATCTAGGAGTCTGGGTACCTGGACAGTAGACAAGGGCTGGTGGCTATTATTATTATTTTTATTATTCTCATCATTGTAGCTAGCGTGTATGTAGCTAGCGCTAAGATTTCTAACGTGCTCTACTTACCTCATTTGGTCCTCACAACCACCCTCTGGTGCAATTTTTATCTCATTTTACAGATTTTTCAGGAAACTGAGGCCCAGGTAGGCCTAGTGATTTGCCCAGAGTCATACAGCTATTAACTGAGGTAAGATTTGAACTCAGGTCACATCTCCTGACTCTAGCCCTTTTATCCACTGTACCACCTAGGTGCCTCTAAAATTAATAATAGGAATAAGAATTACATTAGGGCAGCTAGGTGGCACAGTGGGTAAGCTCCAACCTTGGAGTCAGGAGGACCTGAGTTCAAATCTGGCCTTAGGCAACTTGACATTTACTAGCTGTGTGACCCTGGGCAAGTCACTTAACTTTGATTGCCTCACCAAAAAAAAAAGCAAGGAGGGGAGTTATATTGTGTTTTTTGTCTGGACCTCTGTTTTCATCAGTGGGAATTCCCGTTCGCATTGAGGAAACTCCCCGAACATTGCAGGTTTGCACATCCTGTGTAAGGTGACTTAGGTGGTAGAGAATGGCCTGGGGGCACTAAAGAGGTCCAGAGTCGCACAGCTAGGAGGAGGCAGGGCTTGAACCCAGGTACTGCTGACTCTACCTCCCAAATCTGTTCTGCCACTTGGGTGAGTGACCTTTACCCACCTGATGCTCTCTTCCCTTATCTGTAAAACGAGGGCTTGAACTCCTTTGACTTTGTAGAGTTCTTCCCACCTCTCACTCACTCTGCAGAGTTCCCACTGAAGGCAGCCCATCACAGATTTGGACAGCTCCACTCTTCCAGCACCCTGGGGTCCAAGGAGAATGGGTCCAGCCCATCCAGACAGAGGGTCGCCTCTGCCTTCATTCCCTCCCAAGCCATCGGGGCCCACTGGGTTCAGGAGCGATGCCAGATCCTGGAGATGGACGTGGCAATGTCTTGTTGGAGGAGGGTTTCCCAGGCAGCACCTCTCTCCACTCAAACGCTTTCTTAGAGCCTATGAGCACCGAGAGCTTTTGGGGTCTTTAACTAGCCTTTCACTTTTGTGATGGTAAGGATGCAATTTACTGTGAAATAATGTTTTCGTGTCCTCTGCCTTCATCAAGGATTGCCTTCGAAGCATGTGAAAAGTATTCCCTTAACATTTTGTATAATAATGTTAGCATTTTTACGAGGCATTGAGGTTTGCAAGACGCCTTCCATATATGATCTCATTTGATCCTCACAACAACCCTGGGAGGTGGGTGTTATTATTATCCCCATTTTTCAGATGAGGTGACTTGCCCAGGGTCACACAGCTGGTAAGTGTCTTAAGGAAGTCTTCCTAACTAATCGGTGTGGATAGTTGGGTAAGTACATGTATGGGTGGCTGTTCTCCCAGTTTCTTTTTTTCCTTATAATAACATGTAAGAGGGGTTTTTTTTAGATGTTATATGGTGATAAGTCATGGAATCCCACTGTCCCTGAAAAATTGAAACTGAGGTTCAATCCGAGGGCAATAAGGAGGTGTCTGGTGGGTGTGAAATGGCTCAGCATGTTGCAGATAAGGAATTTTGCAAGAGAAGGAGAAAGGGGCCAGGGATGGAAAAGCCCACATGCACCAGCGGTAACCAGGCCAAGGCAAGAGAGCTGCGGGAGGACTCCCAATGGTCTGGGTGAAACCCCCGGGGACAGATCATGGAAGGGCATGGACAATGACGGGTGCCCACCGTGGGTCCCCTGGAAGGAAATGCTCGCATTCATGAGGTTAAAAATTCATTGGATGCGCAGAATTAGCTAATGCATGCTCACCGCTACTATTGTGTGTCTAACTAATAGTTCCCAGCAGGCTTGTAAGAGCATTCTAATTATATGACTAAATTAAGATGTCCTGCCCGTGCGTACTTATAACCAAACCCAAAATGCCATCTCCATTTCCCCCCTTTGGTCTAGAGGTGCCCTTTTACACACAGGAAGTGTTTAATAAATGCTTGTACTGTTCTTCATCCGTGGTATCCCAACTCCCTCTCACGACCTTAGCGCTGGCTGAACCCCATTCCTGACGTGCACTCCCCTCCTCGCCTTGACCTCTTGGAGTCCATGACTTCCTTTAAGACTCAATTCGAACTCCTCTTTCTCCCCAGGGTCATTGCTGGCCCTTCAGTGCTGGCTCCTGCTCATGCCTTCCCATCCAAAGTTGTCTTGGGTCTGCTTTATATGTGTCGTATATATTTACATGTTTACATGTTGCCTCTGTTGATAGATGATATGGGGATAGAACATAAGCTTCTTGAAGGCAGGAACTCTTCGCAGTACCAGGCACAAAGTAGATGCTTAATAGATGCTCGACTATACACACAGCATCATCCTGGGTACTGCGGGAGATAAAAAGTGTAGCTCAGACAGGGTTCCTGCCCTCATGGAGCTTAAAGCATAGAAGGCCAATAAGACCAAAGAGAGGAGTTGACTAGAGATCCATGCGGGTGCAGAGGGGCCTCGGGCAGATATGTGCAGAAGGTGGGAGCAAGGGCAGGTGACAGAATGCGGAAGTTGGGCACTGTCCCATAAGAAGAGGGTCAGAAACACATGCTCAGAATGTGCTGGGGTTGACCAGGACGCTGGGCACAATCGGGAGGTACCGGTATTTCTGTTGCTTTGTACAAATGAGGAAATTGGAGAGAGTGGCCTCTAAGGACCTCCCTCGCTCTACATCAGTGCTCCATCGAACTCATGAGACCTTTTCTGATCTCCCAGTGTCGTCAGTGATTTTCCTCCACCAAAATGACTTTGTATGGACTTCACATTTCCTTATGTTAGTCAACAAGCATTTATTTAGACCTTACTATGCTCCAGGAGCTGCTAAGTACGAAGGGCACACACATGGTTCCCACCTTCAAGGAGTTCAACATGGGAGAGTCAACATGTAAAGAAATACATACACGCAAGAGACACACAGTGTAAACAGGGAGTAATGTCAGAGGGGAGGGGACTTTAAATTTGTATGTGATGGGGGTTGCACTGAACCCAAGTGGGGAGCTAGACAAGAAAGGTACTTGCAAGCATCCTCTATGGGGGGGGGGGGATACCAGCTGCCTTCTGACTCTGTCTCCAAAGAGTCACTGAAAGCCAGAGGCAAAGTTAGCCAGGGGAGGAGAGTGGGTTTCCCTTTGGTTGGAAATCCGTCCTCTTCCTTGCATTGACAGAAAGAAACCAATCTCCACTTTGTATGGGAGCAAGGGAGCCTGCTCTGGGAGGCAGGAAAATGTCCCTGGCTTTCCACTTCCCATCAGAGCCAACAGAGGGGCTGGATGTTGGGGCAGGGTAAGCCAAAGACAGTTCCACGAGTCCTGGAAAGAAAATCACTTGTCGGTGGGCAGCTAGGTGGTGCAGTGGATAGAGCTCCAGCTTTGGAGTCAGGAGGATGTGAGTTCAAATTCGTATCAGACACATGACACTAGCTGTGTGAGCCTGGACAAGTCACTTAACCCTGATTGCCTCACCAAAAAAGCAAAAAAAAAAAGAAAAAGAAAAAGTAAAGAAACTCACTCGTCCCTGTGTCTTGGGCCCTTCACACCAGCTTGTTGGCTACAAAGACACTCTTGAGGTGTCTCATCTGCCAGACACCAATGGCCACAAGCATGAGTCTGGATGATGGATCACCACAGAACTCACTGATTCGTGCTTTCACTGATGTGGCACCTCTGGTAATTCTGCTCCTTCTGGATCTGTTTTACTTGGTCTGCTAGCTGCCCAACTTGAAGCTGCAGCTTGGCTTTGGCAGCGATCTCTGCAGAGTTGTTAGCATGTCCCGAACGTCCAGGTGAACCCTTAGCATGCCTCCAGCAAAGAGGGAAACCTGGTGGAATTGGAGTGGAGGCAGATCTGGTGCTCCCCAGGAGTGTGAGAAGTGAAAGTGAATCTGCCTCTCCCGGGAATAATAAACTTGTCTTCCGAGTCTTTTAC